GTGTGTGTGTGTGTGTGTGTGTGTGTGTAAACACGGCAGCAGAGATAATAAAGCTTTTCTGTCTCATTACAGCGACGCCGGCGTCACTCCAGCTGTCACAACAATCACAGTGTCAGGTATGAAGTTCCTCTTCCTCGGGGCATCAGGCTCTGTCACAACAACACAAACACAACACAACCAGGCAGCTTCATCCTGCTGCGTTTTCATTTTCAAACGTCCTCCCCGTAAACACACAAAATGCATCAGTGTGCGTAAGTTTTGAGCCACTCTTCACACCTTTATTTTGCTTCAAAAAAAAAAATTATTGGCATTTTTTTTGCCTTTTCTCAGTCCTGTTCCTCTGCTGTAGACAGAGCTTCATAGTTACTAAAACTTGAGCCAAGAGTTATTTTATTGAGAAAAGACTAGAAGAAGAAAAATAAAGAGAAGAGCTTTAGATCGATCTTTGATTCAAAATAAAAGAAGTCTGAGGTTGGCTGAAGACTTTTGCACAGCACTACTGGTCCAGTTTGTCCTCGCTGTCTGTTCCCATCACTATCAGTTCGTTATGTTATGGATGAACCGTCGCTGTGATGCTGAAAGTTTAACTGTTTTTATTTTTCTGCTGCGCAGCCACAGGCAGGCGGAGCGCCCCGCCCCTCAACCTCACCGGACTTCCTGGAACGGAGAAGCTCAACGAGCGAGAAAAGGAGGTAATAATAATAATAATAATAATAATAATAATAATAATAATAATAATAATAATAATAAATTTTTATATAGCACCTTCAAACAATGCTCTGCATCGACCAAAGTGCTTCACAAAATAAAACAAATCATAATATATCAGTACAAGTTATGAACAGGGTTTGAACCAAAAAAAACACCTCCGTTTTCTGACTGAAGTCTGAGTTGTTTTGACCCCAGGGCAGCAGGAGGGTTGAATGATTTCTGTTCGGTGTGTCTGAGCTGCGATCAGGTGCTGCCATCCGGTCGTTTTAACAACTCGTTTTTCGCCGAGCGGCCCATTCACGGAAAACTGCCGACTCATCATCTGTGCGAAACCCGCGTGAACATTTTTTGTTCCTGTAAATATTAACACGTAGCTCCTGCAGCTGCAGCCGTACTGTTTGTTCCTCTCAGCAGCCCGGACACTGGAGTTTGTGTTGCTTGTTGTCCTGGACACCGTATGCCCAAGCGTTAACTTTCGGCGACGGCTTCAACAAAAGAAAAAGAAAAAAAACATTTTTGGTGCTACTTTTTCCACCAGAAATCATCGATCAGAAAAGTTGTTTGATTCCTCAACATGAGAACAGGAAAAAACAAAAACAAATAATTTCAAAAGTTCCAATCATGCAAAATATTTAAGTTACTTTAATGAGTTGTAACCAGAAATGCATCATTATGGGTCTGCATCTCCAGCTGGTATTTGCAGCATTTTGTTGAACAAACGGAGCAAATAAACGATCCTTTAGTGGTGTTTATAAAAATAACCTGGTGTGTGTGTGTGTGTGTGTGTGTGTGTGTGTGTGTGTGTGTGTGTGTGTGTGTGTGTGTGTGTGTGT